ACACTGAAACATTAAGAAAGAGCTTCTTGGATGTTTATCTTGGATCTAGTTCTGTAACATTCAGATTCAGTAAACGCTGTAGAACATAATGGGGATGATTTATTAAAACTGGAGAGTGAAAAATCTGGTGCAGTTCTGCATAGTAGCCAACCAGCTTCTAACTTCAACTTGTTCAGTTAAGCTTTGGCAAAAAAAAAAAAAAACACTGGAAGCAGATTAGCTACTATGCAGAGTTTAACCAGATTTTGCACTCCCCGTCTTTAGTAAATCAAGACCAAAGTCATCCAGAAGGGTTCTCTGGACTATATTTAAGGCTTCTGTAGAGCTTTCAGAGCACCTGGACAAAATATTTGGAGTCTCCTATTTCTATCCTCCCCTTGGTCCCTGGGTCAGACTTTTGGCAATGTTGGTTATGTGTTATAGAAGACACTGGTAGTGATAGCAGAATTCAGGCTTTACTTGTGTGGCTTAAGTTACAAACATACAGAGCACATTTCATCAGACATATTACAGACTCATTACTTCCTGAAGAGATGATAGAGAAGAGGAACAAACAAGTTTTCAGATATATACACAACTAGTAACCTTTAGTGTATAGTGCCATCTACTGGTCAAGTGATATTAACACACAATACTGTATATAGTACATTATAGTACATGCTGTTGCATTCCCAACAGGCAACACATATGCTCTGGATACTTTGAGTTTTACATGATTGTGGGTGCTTTGAAAGTGCTAGCTGACAGATACATCAGTCTGCCCATGCTCTCCTAAAGAAATGGACTTTTGTTTTCAAAATGCATTGAGAAGTGCTCATCCATGTCTAGTAGACTTTAGCAAACAATTGCTAAAAATCTATGTATTGGTTATGATTTAGCAGATTTATATGATACGCAAGGCAAAATTTGAGGATGTATAATGTAATCAGCTACCAAATAATCAATTCAGCCATACATTTTTCTTTAAAGAAAATAAATAATCAAAACTAATATATACAGTATATATATATATATATATATATAATTATTATACAGTATTTATAAAGCGCCAACAGTTCGCTCAACGCTGTACATTACAATGAGAGACAATACGTGATACAGTACAATAACAATACAATGCGATACACGAGGGATTCGAGGGCCCTGCTCCTTGGAGCTTACAATTTAGGAGGGAGGGGATAGTGGTACAGGAGGAAAAGCTGTGGGGGATGGAGTGGCAGGAAGAGTGGAGGAGATCGGCAACTAGTAGGGGGCAGGGTAGGCTTCCCTGAAGAGGTGGGTTTTCAGGGTGCGCCTAAAGGAGAGGAGAGTAGGTGATAGTCTGATGGATTGGGGTAGGGAGTTCCAGAGGATGGGTGATGCCCTGGAGAAGTCCTGGAGGTGGGTATGGGAGGAGGAGACCAGGGAACTAGAGAGAAGGAGGTCTTGTGAGGAGCAGAGAGTGCGTTTTGGGTGGTATTTGGATATTAGGTCGGTGATGTAGTTTGGGGCAGTATTATGGACAGCTTTGTACATCAGTGTTAGCATTTTGAATTTGATCCGTTGGGCAATTGGAAGCCAGTGGAGGGATTGGCAGAGGGGGGTGGCGGAAATGGAGCGGTTTGTAAGGTGGATGAGTCTGGCTGCCATATTCAGGGTCGACTGAAGTGGGGATAGCCTGTGGTGAGGCAGGCCAGTGAGGAGGGAGTTGCAGTAATCGAGTCGTGATATGATGAGGGAGTGGATGAGCTGCTTAGTAGTTTCTGGGGTTAGGAATGGGCGTATTTTGTCAATGTTGCGGAGGTGGAGTCTACATGAGTTTGTTAGCGATTGGATTTGGGGCTGGAAGGATAGATTGGAGTCAAGAATGACACCAAGTACTCTGGCTTGCGGGGTGGGCCTGATGGTGGCATTGTTGGACGTGATGGAGAAGTCAGTAGGGGGGTGCGCGGGCTGGGGGGAAAACTAGGAGCTCGGTTTTGGAGAGGCTCAGTTTAAGGAAGTGGAGCGACATCCAATCTGATATGTCGTTCAGTAGGCTAGTGATTCGGGCGGAGACTGAGGGGGTGAGGTGAGGGGTCGAGAGATAGTTTTGCGTGTCGCCGGCATAGAGGTGGTAGCTGAAGCTGTGAGAGTGTATCAGTTGGCCAAGGGAGGAGGTGTAGATGGAGAAGAGAAGGGGCCCGAGGACAGAGCCTTGAGGGACCCCAACAGAGAGGGGGAGTGAGGGGGAGGTGGTAGCATTATAGGTAACGCTGAAGGAGCGTTGTGATAGGTAGGACGAGAGCCAGGAGAGAGCGGAGTCTCTGAGGCCAAGGGAGTGTAGTTTTTTGAGGAGAAGGGGGTGGTCAACTGTGTCGAAAGCCGCGGAGAGGTCGAGGAGTAGGAGCACTGAATAGTGGTCATTAGCTTTGGCGGTTAGCAGGTCATTGGAGAGTTTGAGTAAGGCAGTTTCGGTGGAGTGTAGGTATATATATATATATATATATATATATATATATACACACATCAATCAATAACATGATGACCTAAAGTGACTCTAACCCTTACATATACCCAGTGAAGTTACTGGCCTCAGGTGATACACAGAGATGGAACATATTCTCCTACATAAGTCGTACCTGTTTATGTGAAGTATTTCTTCTTTACATCTGTTCAAATTGCTGAATTTATAAAGCTTGTCTGAGAGTTACATACCGAAGAGCTCAGTGAGGAGAGATAGGAGAACTGATTGGAGAGAAGGGGCACACCCCTTCTACACAGCTCATAGGAACAGAGCTGAGGCTGTCAATTTGCTGGAGGTCCTGCCCCAGTCACCGTTTTTCTCTTAGCATCAGAAAAATTGTCAGAAGTGACTCCTGCTGATAGCAAAGGAACTAGGCAGCAGACAGAAATGACACTTATTGGTCGAGATTGAGACAAGTATACACTATAGAGGGGTATGATTTGTTTATATTTCATGTCTGAGGTTTACAACCACTTTAACCTAAAAACGAACTCTCAGTGCATGTGTATCTAAAAAGTCCTGTTGTTACTGTAATTTCAATAATTCACTTGGCTTATTGTGAATCAAATGTCAGAGTATCATAGCTTAATAGGATTATATTTGGCTAAATCAATTTTTCAGACTGGTCATACACCAGTAGAATTTCATTTTAACATTTGTATGAAAATCTGAAAAATCGTTTGTCAGGGCATCCCTTCTTGCTATCGAGTCAACTAATTCAGTTCAAAGTTAAAGTTTCAGCCAAACCTGCTACTTGAATGCAGTCCCAGAAATATTAAACAGGCTTTATTGTGTCTAGACCAGCCATTCTGAAACCGTTCAACACAGAGGAACCCTTGAAATAATTTTCCTGTCACAGGGGACCCTTACAAAAAATTTCCATACCTACATCTCATGATACATTAGTGTGATGGCTGGTGGGAAGAATTACCTTACACTTGTGGACATTGGGAAGAATGACCCCCTTATAGATAGCTAAAAAGATCAATAGAGTCAATGGGAACTTATCTAAGAGGCAGACATTGCTTGTTGCTCAAGGAACCCCTACCAACCTCTGGAGGAACCCTAGTGTTCCATAGAACCCTGGTTTAGAAACCCTGGCCTTGAACATGCACACTATAATATGTGCAATTTTTTACAAATAAAAATTATCAACATTTTCTGTTCAATTTTGCTCTGCTATGTTCAAAATCTACCAGCGATTTCACCCTACTAACCATTAGAAAAGCGAACAAACATTCTACTAGTGTATGCCAGCTTTAAGTGCACTTTTTCTCCCAATATTTACAGTCTATGGCAGGCCATAGACAGGTTGAAAACTAAACGTTCCGTTGTTTGAAAAAATAGCTCATATGATTGTGCCATCAATTATTTTGTTTTTCAAAGAAAAACCCAGCATGTTGGATCAAGCACTTTCAATTGCAGCACGAAAATCGTGTGTCGCAGCTGGCACACTAACGATGCGAAAACCAAATGATCTGGAATTTTCATTCGGTTTTCAACTTATCTATGGCCTACTTAAGGGGTCCCATTCATACCCTTGTCCAATGCAGTCCAACCTCAAGATAAGGTTAAATCCATTGTCTCTTATCAGGCCAGTTCACACCACCCTGTTACTTTGGTGTATGCTGGAAAGAAATACAGCATGCAGTACTTTTTTCAGGACATTGCAGTGCAACACCACCCTCCTCACTTTGTGACATTTCAGTAAAGTTTGCTTAAAAAAAAAAAAGTAGACTGAGGGATCATTTACTAAAACTGAAGAGTGCAAAATCTGGTACAACTCTGCATAGAAACCAATCAGATTCCAGGTTTTATTGCGAACGCTTAATTGAACAAGCTGAAGTTAGAATCTGATTGGCTACCACGCACAACTGCACCAGTTTTAGTAAATCTCTCTGCAATGTACTAAAATCTTCATTTCACACTTCAGTCATCCTACATTATACCAGTGACTGCATTCTAGCGCAGCTGCTGGTGTTAAAAGGCCCTAAGCAAGGCAGAACAGTGATTTTTACAGTTATGCAAATTTTGACTTTTTGTCAAAGGTCAACAGCTATATAAATCTTAATTTCCATCGAACCACTCTCACTGGCTATTGATATATGCAGTATGCAGTGACACATGACTGTCACAGAATGGGCTGAGATACATTTGATGTGATTGACACCCTGACTTCACTCTGTTCTGTACTAAAGACAATATGGGGGCCCCCAGTGTGAGAATAGCGGGGCCTCAGCAGACAGACTGAAGTGAGGTTCTTATTCCCTGGTTATGCATCGGTGAGTTGTTCATAAGCTAAAATAATGCAGATTTGGCATTGGTCCTTGAAAACATTGGCTTTGTTTTAAACTAAAGCTGCTTTCCCCTGAGCAGGGCTTATGAGCATATCTTTGAAGATGCAATGATACCATCAAATACAAGGCATTTTGACCTTATACTCTATAGCAGTGATGGCAAACCTTTTAGAGACCAAGTGCCCAAACTGCAAGCCAAAACCCACTTATTTATTGGAAAGTGCCAAGACTGCAAGTAAACCTGAAAATTGAGGTTTTACTTTAGAAAAAACAACCCATACATTACCATCTTTTGTCATAAAAGAAACGCACAATAACGGAGCTTCCACTGACCACCAGCACAAGGGAGCAAAGTTCTGCTGTCCACCAGCACAAGGGAGCAAAGTTCTGCTGTCCACCAGCACAAGGGGGCAAAGTTCCCCTGACCACCAGCACAAGGGGCAAAGTTCCCCTGACCACCAGCACAAGGGACAAAGTTCTGCTGTCCACCAGCACAAAGGGGCAAAGTTCCCCTGACCACCAGCACAAGGGGGCAAAGTTCTGCTGTCCACTAGCACAAGGGGGCAAAGGTCAGCTGACTACTAGCACAAGAGGGAAAAGTTCCCCTGACCACCAGCACAAGGGGGCAAAATTCTGCTGACCACCAGCACAAGGGGGCAAAGTAAAACTGACCACTAGCACAAGGAGGCAAAGTTCTGCTGTCCACCAGCACAAGGGGGCAACGTTCTGCTGACCACCAGCACAAGGGGGCAAAGTTCTGCTGACCACCAGCACAAGGAGGCAAAGTAAAACTGATCACCAGCACAAGGGGTCAAAGTTCCCCTGACCACCAGCACAAAGGGGTAAAGTTTCTCTGTCCACCTGCACAAGGGGGCAAAGTTCCGCTGACCAATAGCACAAGAGGGCAAACTTCACCTGACCACCAGCACAAGGGGGCAAAGTTCTGCTGACCACCAGCACAAGGGGGCAAAGTTCCACTGACCACTAGCACAAGGGAGCAAAGTTCTGCTTTCCTCCAGCACAAGGGAGCAAAGTTCTTCTTTCCTCCAGCACAAGGGAGCAAAGTTCTGCTTTGGTCCAGCACAAGGGAGCAAAGTTCTGCTGTCCACCAGCACAAGGGGGCAAAGTTCTCCTGACCACTAGCACAAGGGGGCAAAGTTCTGCTGTCCACCAACACAAGGGGGCAAAGTTCCCCTGACCACCAAAACAAAGGGGCAAAGTTCTGCTCTCCACCAGCACAAAGAGGCAAAGTTCCACTAACCACCAGCATAGGGGGGCAAAGTTCCCCTGACCACCAGCACAAGGGGGCAAAGATCCAATGATCACCAGCGCAAGCTAAAAACTTGTGCTAATAAAAACAAAACAAATGTATTAAACTCACAGCCAGCCCAATGTATATATTCTTGGCAGCGCACTGACCGGCCATGCAAAAGCTTGGACATGTCGTGGCTAATGAGTTTCGACGTGTGACATCACCTGGCACCTCTTCTCCTTTCCGAGCATACGCATTTGCCCCCATATGCACTGTTATCCGATGCTTGGCTGTTGGGGCGATTTGGCTTGCATGCCGACAGAGAGGGCTCTGTGTGCCCACTACGGCACGCATGCCATAGGCTCGCCACCACTGCTCTGTAGTGTCGCATGACAAAATGACAGCTATGACACTCTTTCTTTACATAAGGAATCACCTTCTGATCTTCACCCGCAGCAGGGATTTAGTTTCCCTTCCTGCAGGAACAGCATGCAGAGCAACCTCATTTCTCAGCCACAGGTATATGGTGTAATATGTATAAGAATCCACCAATGCAATTTCAGAGCATTTCACATACAGAAAGGCAGAATGCATTTACAGAAACATGGAGGTTTAAAATATGCTAAAGAGCTAGAAACTGCAGTATTGCAGAAATCTAATACAAAGCAAATATTTTCTACAATGTAGAAAAAATGTATTAAGGCGAAACTGCAGTGCATCTGAGCAGCACAAACTAAAAATGCTATTTAATCCATTGTTAATATTCAAACTCCCCATCCATCCATGTCTTCATGCTTTATTTTGTTGAGAATTCATTTTGAAAAATACCCCCTGTTTTTTTCTGGCAGTTGCCATCTTGAGTAAAGGCAGATGATTCATGTAGCATTTACTTCCTGGAATCCATCTGCTCTTAGTTCAGGCATTGGAGCGAGAACCCTCCCTCCCCTCCAGAAGACTCTTGGGATGTATGACATAATTTGCCTAGGCATAGAAATCAGACGTAAATGAAGACATTTAAATAAATAATGTAAAACAAGTAAATATGATATACTTTCCTATCTATTTAGTAATGCTGGCAGCATAAGGATTAAAAATATAAAAATAGTCATTGTTGATTGAGAGAGTTAAGCAGCTTAAGGTAAACTGAGCTGAGTTGTTTTTACCTGCCAAGGTATTTGTATTTCTGTCTATCCAGTCCTGAGATGTCCACAGCTCTGGTGCACAGCACAGTCGTGTCTGTCAGTGCGGGGCAACTGCTGTTTTTCTGCTGTATTTAACCACCTCAATACTGATGCATGTATATACAGTATATATTGTATTGAGGTGGTTATACCAGGATCATGGCTGCAGCTATATTTTTTAAAAGTGAACTGAGCGGGTATACAGCCGCTTGGTCACATTTACAGGCAGACATCTTGGTTTGATCAGCTGCATTGGAGGCTAGAGGAGAGATTCAGGGTCTCATAGACCCCAGATCTCTGCATAAAGAGGACCTGTTGCAGCTCATGCTATCACAAGGGATATTGTTCATCCCTTATGATAGCAATAAAGTTGATAAAAATAAATGTACAGTGTAAAAGAAAAAATGTAAATAAATAAATAATATGACCAAAAATTCCACTTGCCTGTCTGTTTCACTTTAATATTTGTAAATCAAAGACCTAGAAAAAACATTTTATAAATTAGTGTCAAAAAGTATCAAAACTACTAATTTGTATACTTTCAGGTCAGTGACTTAAATTCTTTAATTGCCGAAAGAGTTTAAAGTGAAAGGTCATTTAACTTCCCCATTTCCCCAGCAGCATGTGTTCATTCTTCCTCACCCCTAATACTCTGCCTTCACCAGCCAAGTCTAATGCCCCGTACACATGATAAGAAAATTGTACGAAAATTTTCGTACAAGGACCGATCGTCTGATAATCTGAGCGTTAGTACACAGCTTTTGAAAGCCAATCACGACAATTCATACGGTAATATCCGAAGGGACAAGCTCGAAAAAAAGGAAAGAAAGCCATGTGTAAATTCCACACCAGCTTACCGGAGCTAAGAGTAGTTTCTGGTGCCATGTGACAGTGCTAGGGTAATGACAAGGCACCTAGTAGTGTCACTTGGCCTAGAAGAAGTGACTCAAAAGCTCAACCATACCTGGTAATGTTGGGTATTTCTCTAGGGTCCTGGTAGCCAAACATAGCAGTACGGGAGCAAGGAAAAGACTGAACTGGATGGGGAAAGAATTAGGTGACCCTTTTCCTTTGCCCTGCATGGGCAAAGGAAAGGTTCATACACAAAGGTTACACATGGTAAGAAAATTGTACAAATAATTTTGTAAAAGGACCTTTCATCCGATATTCTGAGCGTTAGTACACAGTGTTCTGTCTTGGCATCGGTTGTACTTGTGGCGAGATTCGTTTAGACCCAGTCTGTCAGAATGTGTGCAGCAAGTTGAATGATCGCCTTAACAGATAGTTTACTCAATGAATAACAACTTCAGAGGTATTTTCCAATGCTTCTTTATGCTTCAAGGTAGCAAAGGTATGAACATAAAAGGTGTTTTCATAGGTAAATTTCCAGTGATGTACATAGCCTCCTCACTCTACAGCATCTTGATAACCACTAAACTAAAATGGTGTTACAACAGGAAATGAAGGGTGGAAGCAACCAACTAGTCAGAAACAGCAGGGGTGTGTGGATGATACCAAATAACATTATAACATAACATGTAAATAACAACTGCTAAACAGTAAAGCTGCGTGGCAGCACACTCCCCGTCTGGTATCGAGAGATACCACTACACAATTATTTTCTTTTTTTTAAAATACTATTAACATTGCATACAGTAAAATACTATCTAACCTTCTCAAATCTGCAAGTTAGCTATATTAGAGGTCTTAAGTGACTCCCTCACATAACACTGAATCAGAATTACTAGAAGCAGGCATAATTAGGACAATCTCAGTGACTGGTCTGAGAAAGGTTTTTGAGTCTCTCGTCCTTAACGATCCTGACTTCCACACTTCGGACTCTTCCATCATCACTGGCAATGGCTTTTGTAATAAGTCCAACTGGCCACTGGATCCGGTGAGTTTGCTGGTCTTTTAGCAGGACTAGGTCCCCTTCCTTTAAGTTGGGCTTCTGGGTTTGCCACTTTTTACGTCCTTGGAGAAGAGTGAGGTATTCCTTCCTCCATCTGTCCCAGAAACGATCTGCAAGGTATTGAGCATATCTCCATTGACGTTTATATATGTCCTTTTCATCGAAAATACCTTTTGGCGCTGGTCTATTGCCTCTCAAACACTTAATCTCTTCTGCAAAGGCTTCTTCTTGCACACAACGTATGATGAATAACTCTGCTCTTCTCATACTCTAACGACGCATTGGGTGACTCCTTGCAAGTGTGCCATCCATGACAAGACGATGTCTGGTTGGACTTGCGGAAAATCTGTGCAATATGACTCAATCTTGCTATAGTCTTCACCAATCTTTTCCAAGAAGAGAAACGTTCAAAACGTCTTACCTCCAAGTTTCTTCTTGAGCAGATGTTAGAACTCAATGTTATAACTTCAGGGCGGATTTCCTGATCAGTATCTGGATCTACCAGGTAGAAATCGATATCTTCTTCTGAGTTTGTAGAAGACTGGTCTGTTAAAAACTTGGGTCCTGTAAACCAAATGGTTTGCGTGAGGACAACTGCTGGCACTGACCTCGTGGCAATGTCGGCGGGATTCAAACCAGTCGGGACATAGTTCCATTGTTCAGGTCTACTGATTTTTCTTATTCGTTCTACCCTGTTAGCCACGTACACATAGAACCTTCTTACACTGTTGCATATGTAGCCAAGTACGACCTTGCTGTCAGTGTAGTACTTAACCTGATCAATTTCAGTGTCCATTTCGTTTTGCAGGAATTCTGCAACTTCGACAGCTAGGGTTGCTCCACACAATTCTAATCTTGGAATAGTGTGAGCCGGTTTTGGAGCTAACTTGGCTCTTCCCTAGAAGAAACCCACATGGGATCTCCCGGATGGATCTATGATCTTGAGATAAGCCACGGCCGCTATAGCCTTGGTGGACGCATCACAAAAGATATGAATCTCTTTCCTCTGACTTCTTGAAGTTGAAGTAGGTGAATAGCACCGTGGGGTATTAAGTTCTTCCAGTAATTTCAAGGAGTCTCTCCCATTTCTCCCATTTAGGTAGTAGGTCTACTGGAAGAGGGGCATCCCAATCTGTCACTCTCTCAGTAAGCTGACGAAGTATGGATCTCCCTTGGATGGTAACTGGAGTCACGAAGCCTAGTGGATCGTAAAGGCTATTGACAGTTGACAGGACTCCTCGTCTGGTGAATGGCTTCTTGATGTCAGAGACCTGAAAGGTGAATGCATCTGAAGTTACATTCCAGAGAAGACCGAGACTCCTTTGCGTGGGTAGGGCATCTACTCCCAAATCCAAATCCTTCAAATCTTTAGCATGATCTTCTGGATTAAAAGCCTTCATTACTTCACTGCTATTAGATGCGATCTTATGAAGCCTTAAGTTAGCAGTCAACAGGAGCTGTTGAGTTCCTTTTATCAGATTGATGGCTTCTTCAGGTGTTGGGAAGGATTTCAGACCATCATCTACATAGAAATCTCTCTCAATGAATTGCCTGGTGGCAAATCCAAATTCCTTTTCACCTTCCTGTGCTGTTCTTCTCAGTCCATAAGTTGCCACGGCAGGAGATGGACT